CATCAACATATTCTATAATTGATTTTTTTTTACTCCATTTTGAAATCGCTTTTTTCTTGTTGCGTTCAGTTCAGTTGTTATGATTGATATTTCGATGTCGGAAAAATTATACATTTCCGTTGAGCACTTTCCGATTTAGTTTCCCTTTCGCTTAGCGAAAAGAAAAAAAAAAACAAGGAAAAAATATATAGCATTTCTCTTCGTGTTTCAAACTTTTTTCTTATTTTCCAAACGGAATGTTTCGTCGTTGTTGTTTTTATTTTCTTCAAAGGAATAATTATAATTGCATGTAAATATTTATCCTTATTAAGTAAAAGAGCACCGTTATTCGGTTGTTTATGTGTATGTATGGAAAATGCAACGAGCTATCCAATTACCAGTTCAACGGTGCGGCCCTCCTCTCGTGCCCGCACGATTTTTTTTCCTGCTTCAGTACACATAAGTATATACATTTTATCAGTATTCCATAATTTACGGAGCGCATTCATTTATCGAATCGAGGGAGACACGAAACATTCTAATGCGTTTGCTTTTCTCTCTCTCTCCCCTCTCTCTCTCTCTCTCGTGCTCAAGCTCATGCTCTTGCACTCCTCTAGCTTCTTTCTCTCGTTCCTTTTCTCACTCGCGCCGAAGTCAAATCGCATTTTCTGTTCGCCAATAACGACTCGGCAAATGCGATTGCTGCTAAACAACCGCGCATAATTGATGACAAGCAACGGGGAAAAATGCTGCTCTGGCTAACAACTTTTTTCTTTTTGATGTAATCATCTGTGTACCAGTCGAGTGTGCCGCATGAAAAACTTACTTGCATTCACAACGTATTACTTTCATTCAGCGTTTCATTCTCATACAAACGGAATAAAATGTCCTCATTTTTACTAGTCAATTTGAGTTTCATTTCGACGCTAATCAAATTTACTAGAGGAAAAAAAACCACACGCACAGAGAAAAACTGTCGTTCATTTTTCCAAGTTGGATTCGTTTACTTGGGAAAACTATTAACGATTCTCTTTTAATTACAATTTTTCATGACAACTTTAAGTGTTTCTCGCATTCGAATTCCTCGTTCTCGTCGATTTTCCCATCAATTTTGTTGTTTTTTTCATTTAACTTTGTTTTTTCTCATTTCATTCAATTTTCGTTTCTCTCTCGTGCGCGTTATTTTTCTTTCCCAATTCCGTTTGGAATGCGAAATTTAAACGCCATCCAATTCAATCGATTGATTTCGTGAACGTAATTACTCATTTTTAATTGGGTATAGTAATCGAAAATTATTCTAAATGCGATTATTAGTTCTGTAATCGAATACTGACTCGAAGAATTTCAATTCGTCAAAAACGAAAACCAAAAGTGAGAAGCTATCGCATTTTCTTCCCTATTGCGTGTTTCACTTTCATTATGTGGGTCTCTCTCTCTCTCTCTCTCTCTCTCTCTCTCTCTCTTGAAATGCTGGACGAGCCCGAAGCAAAACGGTGTCGCATTTTTCATGATCGAATTTCATTCGATACAGGGAAGAAAAAAACAGTGGATGAAAAATAAAAATAGAAATGCCTTTCCAAAGTGAATCTACCTTGGTATGAGACAAACCGAACAGGAAAAAAAAATCATACTCAAGTGAATCATGGAACCTGGCTCTCAAAATCAAGGAAAAATTGCTTTTTAATTCAACATATTATATTTCAATCGATATTTTTGTTGAGGGAGCGCTACGAACAGAACAACGAACGAACAGAAAAAAAAATCTGAAGAGCACTCAAAAGCGTGTTCAACACAAATTGCTATCGATATGACAGTGTGTTCTTCCTCAACAAAACCGGCGACAGCGTTGTTTTTCTTCATCTGTGCCGGGATTGATGTTGTTTTTCGGCGGTGGGATCATGACAAGCAAGAAAAAACCATGGCGAACTGTAATTGGGTTTTCCGAATTTTGGCACAAACACACACACATTCACGAGAAAAAACTTTTTTTTTTTTGTAAAAGTAAGCTTTTAAGTTTATAATATTTTAATCAAATGCATACACTCTTAAGCACTCTCGCTCTGTTTGAAAGCGGTGCCTTTGTTCTGGTTTGATGCCTGTACAACATACAGTCTCGCATGTGATAACCAAACTTAATTTCATTGTAAAAGTTTTGCGTTCGAGATGCGAAACAACAACAAGAAGAAGCCATCAACTTCAACCATGCCACCGCCGCCACATCTCATAACACAAAATGTGTATGAGCGAGTATATGTTTTTTCACCATCGATCCAATTTCATCTTCTTGATTCCTTAATACTGAGCCGTGCGCACGCCAATGTTTGATACATGTGAGTACACTTGTTCAAAAACCAAACACATTCGGTTTCCATTACAGGCAAAATATATTCAACGACATGAAAACAATATTATACTTTAAAATGCAACCACCGTAAACTTTCACCAGAAAACGCACATTATAGACGATTTTCAATTGTGCGTTTCGTGTAGAATCAACAATTCCATTGCTGCCATTCATCAAAGTGGCTTACAATCGCTTACAGAAAACTTCACACTGCGACGATGTGAAACAAAGAACTGTTTGAAATTCATCAAAATCGAAGGCAAAGACGAAAAGGGAATGGAAAAACACTTTGGCAATGCCATTCGGAGCAAAAGCGAGCGAGAGATAGAGAACGAGAGAATGATGGGAGTAATGTGCGTTTCCCCAACTATGAAGATATCAATCGCTGTTCGGCATCTCGATCGTAGCTCACCTCGATGTGTTCATGTTGGCAATGTGTAGTGGTTACGGTGTAGCACATAAAATACGTATAAAAAGGATAAAAATAAACACATTTGCATTGCAGATGAGATCAAACTTACGGTTAAATTGATTTTATACGAACATAAAACAAGCCGTTAGACGGAATAAAGAGAGAAGGGTAGTGAGTTAGAGGGAAAGATAGGATGAGTGTAAGCGCAAGATGCAGAATCTTGGATTTTTACCTTTGAAAATTTTATGCTAAACTCTTGTGAGAATCATTTTCGAATGTTCAGAGTGAAAACATACACTTTCGGTATGTATGCGATGGTGTTTGGGCAAAGAGCACAAGGGAAACGGAACTGTACATATACATAGAGTGAAAGAGCGATGAGATTAGGTTCGTTCGATATCAATATTGTTGTGTATTGTATCGAACAAGCGACTATGAAATTGGTGTGTTTGTCGATGCATCAAACACACATCAGTCTTATCGATGAGCTAAACCAAACAGAATGAATGCGACGACGACGACGACGACAATGACGATCGAAGAACGTGGATTCGGAATTGGTATATACATTTAGCAACGATTTACGGCTGCTGCTGCTGCTGCCACTGCCTTGTATCGGTGGTTATCGTGTGTGAATTTGGCATGAATCCAAGGAATCGGAAATGTAAATTAAATGTTCAATTGGATTAGAACGAGACAAAGGGCGCGCGCATGGTGCGTACACACATCACTTGCACAAGACATTCATCGGCTCAACACATCAACCGGCTGCGTCCCTTTCACATGTTTCGAAATTCAATAAATTTTTAATGTAGTCTTGAGGTGGAGCGCTTCCGATTCGACGACGACGGCGATGGGTTCTATTTTAAAATGGCAAAATTGTGCACAGATTGCATCTGGGAAAGAAAAATCAGAAAAACCTAATCCCTTCCGAAAATCCAAAATGAAAATATGGATTTTCTTGCAAACCAAATCAAGTACACGATTTCTTGTCGACGTGTCAATGCGAACAAGAAGAATGAGTGTGTGTTCTTTTCTCTCTCGTCTTGAAGGTAAACTAGCGAATGTACTCGTTTTGGAAACTTGTAAATGGCTTTATACCCTTCTTATGGCAATGATTTTTCTTCGTTGCTGTTGTTTTTTCTCCATTTTGTTGTTCTGCACTTTCTCTTCTTTCAATTTTACCGTGTTTTGACGATACACCGACAAATGTAGTGTGCCTTTTACCGTTTTATTGTTTTGTTGTTCTCTCTGTCTAAATATCGACATCGAATTGAATTTTCCCCGAATGCATCACATCCATATTTGAGCACGGTGTATAGCTGTATTTATCTGGGATAAAAAATGTTTGCCATTGACATTTGCATTTATTTTCCGATGTACTTGAGATAGTGAAACAGATTCAATTTTATTGCATCATTTTTGCCATTGCTGTCTTTGAATTGCGAGTTCGGAAGAGAGCGAGAAAACGATATGGAAAGAAAGAGACGGCAAGAGAATTGGGGCTTAGAGCGGTAAAACCAATAAAATACGAAGTAAACGGCAATACGGAAATGAAGGAAATTTTCTTTTTCTGCTACCTCAGCATTTGAGTGTTTCACATAATTTTATTTCTTATTTTTATTCCGGTTCATTTTCATGCAATTCTCACACTTTTGCACACCGATCACACGAACACATGCACACACACAGACAGTTGTTTAGATGAAAAACGGAAAGGAAAACCGAGCGACAACAACATTTCGTTCAGTTTCATATTGCAGATATAATATTTCCTTATTGAATGTAGTAAAAAAGGGAAATAATAACAGTAAAAATCCTTATAAAAATAACAATAATAGTAATAAACTGCAGAAAATGGTCTTATTCACATTTTCTCTTGCGATACACGGCGATTCTTTATCTGTGACGTTGAATCTTCTTCACAGCTTTGAATCTTCATATAGAGCGCACAGGTTTTTGTGTCGCTACAGAAATGCACTTTGAAAACTGCCGTTTTTCACCGGCCAAAAATTCCCTTTTCGAACACACAAATTTCTAAGAAAAACAATTCAACGAAGTGTTTTCGTGATTTCAACTTTTTCCTTTCGTTTTTCTTTCTTCTATCGGGTACTTTCCATTATATTCATTATTTTTCGAGTGGATACTTAATATTTTCGGAGGGGGCTTTCTTTATTGTCATAATTCTTTTCGCTCAGTATACAGACACTCGGCGTAATCTTGTGTTCATTCGGCTAAGGAATAAAAATGGAATAAAGCTCATACCTTGTGTCCCATGGTTGAGAGCGATTGCCAACAGCACCATTACCACAATTGTATCCATATTGATGATAATTTATGTTATTACACAACGAGGAGACTGGCTGCCACACAGACTTAATTCACAATCTCACTGCCGCACATTCGAACACACAATACAAAATATCTTTTTTCCCTTCTTTTTTTTCTCTCTATCATGAACCAAACACCAACGAAGAAGAAGAAAAATACCGTTATTTTCTCTCTTTTTCTCGTTCAATTTTGCTAACTACATCGTTTTTAACCACTTATTTTTTGCAATTTAGCGACGAATCGCAAGTTTTCCATGACCGAAAAATTTCCTCTTGATAATTTCTTTTCAATGGTGCACTTTTTCACTTGTTAAGAAAAAAACATAACAACTTTTGTGACGGAAGTCGGTTTTTATCGGCCAAACGGAATTTTTCCAATATTTTTTTCTATTGTTGCAAATTTTTTTTTTGTTCTGTTTCGTCGAAGGGAAGAAAAGTCGTTCGTTTCTTCTTTCCAAACTATATAATCATTATCGATTTGAAATTTGCTTCAATTTGCAATTCGATTCCATCACAAAATATCCTATTCTTTGAATTCGTTCTTCTCTCTTTTATTAAAGTTCACAGTTCCATTCACAAATGCCTTTATTTGTTCGAAGAGAAAATCCTCCTTATTTTTTACGTTCTGAAATTTCGACAAAGGGTTCAACTTGAACGTGTATCACTGTTTTTCCATTAAAAATAATCAACGAAATTCACGAGTCTCACCCAAACCGATGATTTTTATCGGTATTTTTCAGATGCTTGACGGTTTTTTTTTTCTTATCTTAAGTGGCATCATTCCTTGACACACACACACAAAACCCTCCAAAGAATTCGCAATGCTCACGATGCTGTCTCTGTCGCATTAGAACGACGATGCGCGTTTCAAACACTTTCAAATCTGATGGAATGTAAATTGATGCAGGAAACGGCAACGCGACTCCTACTTTAAACAAACGAATCAATTGTCTCTCGTCGATGGCGAACGTCTGAATGTGAAGCGAAAACGAAATGAGCTTTGCTATGCGTTTAGGTCTGTTTCTGCCGCTATCCCAGGCTCAACTGAATCACATACCGTGCACAGCGGAACACATATCTGCACTCAAAATTGAATCTAAAGCACTTTTCCTCGTTTCAGTCCACTGTGTTTTTTTTCCTTCCTCTTGCTTACGCTCCGTGTGTATCGCCACTCCGTTTATTGCCAGTGTGTTGCTAGTATTCAATGAACCCAACTCACTTGAAGCCACTGTGTTTTGGTATTTGTGTTTGTGTGTGCGTTTTCCAACAGTGCGGTTCCAGTGCGTGTGTTATCAGTTTGTTTTCATAGCCAAGTCATGTTCCAGCCTGTTAATAAAACGTTCCAGTATGTGTTTGTGTCCCCTTCGTTAAAACTGGATTGTGCGCGCTTTTCACCCTTGGAAGCACATCAAACCGAACATTGCCGAACCGCTCCACTGGAATGGTATCTGCCATATCATACAATAAACATGCATTTTTGTTTACAATTGCGAAATGCATCGTTTCAGGCAATGTTTTCTCAATTGAAAATAAAAAATGCACGATATTTTCACAATTGTGCATACATTTTGCGTACACCACAAAAATAATCACGTAAAATGCCTGCTGTAATAGATTTTTATATGTTAACAAAACAATTTCGACCGCGAATGTATAATATTTGTTTTGTGAGCGTTTTTTTTTTGCGCGCACATTGCATTTGCACCTCAATCACAAAAACCTCATTTCCTGAATTCAATTTGACGAAATTGTATGCTAATCGGCGCCATCGAAACCAAATCAACCTTCATATTAAACCGTGTTGCTTTTGTTCCATTTTGTCTGTGAATTTCGAATATTTATCGAATTGTTTGCGAGCTGGTTTAATACAAGCCTGTATGTATTTTCAAATAATGCAATACAACTCGGTATTGTCTGAAGCATGCGATGCATTTAGAACGCAAATGTGCTGCTGCTGCTGCCGCTATTTCACGAGGATTATTCTTTCTGCTAGACGATTGCGCCATTTTCGATTGGTATGCATTAATGTTTGGCTGTAAATTCACAACTGACTGATATTCACTTAATGCAAACGGTGACGTGTGCTATGTACGGCAAAATCTATGGAACGAGAATGTCTGCAGCCGTTTTGCGGATGGTGAAAGCCATTCTTATGGCTTTGCTAAAGCGAGAGTGTAAGTGAAAGTGATCGGTATTGGCAGGAAACGTGCACACAATTATTGAACTCAAACAAGGAACTCGATTTCACTTTGGCGATGCACACCGAGACGATGTGAACTAGACATGGAAAAGCAAGCAGAAAAAAATCCACAATTTCACTTTCAAACATTCCTTTAGTTCGATCGCGTTTGCCAAACATTCCAACGATGTGCACGGTATTTTCCAAAATTGCTTTTCGCTCTCTCCGTTGTTGATGACGATGTTTTTAAACCGTGCAATTTTTTCGCCAGCGTGTCTCTGCGATGGAGTTTTTTTTTCGTGATTGTGTGTGTTATTTTTGTGAAAATTAAGCAAACAACAGGCAAATGAAAAGTAAATTCACTTTTTGCTCTTTTCACTTCCTGCCATAGTTTTAAACTCGCACTCTCCGTTCGCTGGCTACGATTTTTTTTCTCTTTTTTTGTGTGTTTCTCTCGTGCGTGGCTAAAAATAGCCGCTGAATGTTGAATGAAATGTTGTTGTCGTAAGGACAATGGCACATGGTGTTGGATAAAAAAGTTTCGCTAGGAAGTTGCCTAGCCTAGCAAATGAACGAACGAAACAGAAACAGAGAAAAAAAAACAATTTAAAACACAAAAACAATTCAACACGATAAATTTATGGTCACTTTGGTTCCTGTGCTCGCGCAAGAAAGAAAATGAACTTTTTTCCCTCATCCCATCACCACCCTTCCGCCTCCGGTTTCGTTCGGTGTACATATTATTCGTTTGGCCCCAATTTTTATGTTTCTCTTTCTTTTTGCCCGCTCTTGGTGTTTCGTGTTATGCGGCTTGTTTGGCGGTTCACCGATACAACTCGTGAAAATTTATTCACGCTCTTGCTTTTCATCGTGCTGTGTATTTATGTCGACATGCAGCTGGCTCTCCGTTTCGCTGATGATGATAAAATAATAGAAACATTTCGGCGCATTAAACATTTGTAATCAAAACAAAAGTCCGGGATAAAGGAAAAAAAGGCAAATTCATTCAATCTCTTGACAAAATCACACAATAGACACGAAATTTAAGCAACTGAAAAACCGACATCCATTTGTTGATACACAGTGCACATAATATTCGCTTTTGCAGACAATTCAAAGCGAATAAGAGTGAGCAAGAGGGAGATTGAGTGAGACGAAGATAGAAAGAGATTCGTTGGTCTGACGGTTCGTTGAATATTAATATCATATCGCTGCTTGTGAATTGTGATTACGATTTTCGGGGGAGGTAGATTTCTGTTGCTCTCGCCACCGCTACTCATGGCCCGTGCACATGACGCGAACGCAAATCATGAATATGCGGTTTGAATATGAATTTCCACCTAATCAATATATGAAAAGCGAAAACACATGTGCGCTCGTCGACTCATCATGTTATCAGCCGCATTCTCTCTTTTCTGCACAAACAATCTGTCACACAACGCACACCGGTGTTTCTGCCATAAACTCATTCGCTTGCCGTACACACACACATCGTTAGGTCGTTACAAGTATTATATGCTTTTTTTCCTGGTTGTTTCACATTTTTTTCCGTCATTGGTCCGTGCCATGTGAGTGAGCATTTTTTCACTCCACAGTCGTAGGCTGCCGAAAATACGTTGACTCGTTGGCTCTTGTTATCAAATTGAATTATTATGGATGAGAGCGACGTGTAACAGTCTGCATTTGTAATACATCATCATAATCATATTAATGATAGTGAAACCCAACCGGAATGGATTGTCATATGGTGACACAATCAGCACAACCTTTTGCCGAAAACAACAACAATGACGACGACGAAAAGAAAAAAATCCTGGTCGAATGACGCGTGCTTCCAAACATAATAATTCATATGAATTCGTAAATCAACGTGTTAATTGAAACATCTATCATTTATTTGTCTAAATTAACAAGCAAACCACAATATCCAACACAAAATTGTGTACGTGTTGCGATTCAACACTTTTGCGAGTTAAAACCGAAAAGAATTCGTAACTTTGAAGTGGATTTTTTCTCCGTTGATGGATCATGAAAGACTTCAATGGTGAAAACAAAAACCTCAAACTTGATGACGGGCAATTTTTTTCTTTTTTTGTTTCCCTTTGACAAATACGAATTTAAATCACGACATGGGACTAGTTAACGACGTCACATGAATCACGTCGCCTGCTGTGAGCTGAACACTGTTTTAGCATCAATTGCTGTGAATTTGTGACGAACTGTGAAAATGCGATCGAAAGGAGGTGGTTTCGGTTGTGATAGATTCAAGTGACATATTGATATTTAACGGTTGGCTGGATGGTGTGTCGCTATAATGCGACCGCTCATTATTCTAATTGAAATTTATGCGTGTGCCGACAATTAATGCCGCTGAAACAATAGCGACGACGACGCTCTTTCACACCACTGACCAAAAATTACGCTTCTACGCAAATACTTTGTTCAATTAACTGCTTGGAATCGAGTGACGGATTTGTATGAATTTTTATTTCGTTTGCGAGCGAGAGAGAGACGTCAAGTGCAGTGCGGTTGAAAATCTTGCGCTTTTGGTGTAAATGTGAGTTGAGGAAGTAATGAACGTGTATTTTGAAGCCACATGTCACGTTAGTGAAGCAGCCCGTTGTTTTGAACAGGCCGAAGGGTACTTTTCAACAGTTCAAAACATGCAATTGGAAAAATAAGGGAGAAAAAAAAGACGACGATTGAGTAATGAATGTAGTAACGAAATGTTTAGATAACCGAACATTAATTACAAATCGACCGCCGATAAATGAGGTTCCGGAACCGCATTGGCACACGCAATGTGTTTCTTTTGTGCATTTGACGAAACAAATCGCAAGCTAATTTTCTCTGATAAGCACGCGAATATTATTTCAGTATAATTATGAATGTGTGCGCGTGTAAATGGGCAAAACGCGAGAATAGGTGGATTATCGTGGCACACACTGTGTGTCCATTTCCCGATGCATCAAACGGACAGAGATCATTATCGTGCAAATAATGGCGATTTTGTGAAAGCATCACATGCATAATGGATGAAATGATAAATTGTAAACAGACACAATGTTACAGTTATTGATTTTTGATTAGTGCCGAGCACAACACTAGTTACTGGCCACAATATGCAAGTAGAACACGATTAATTAACGGCATCATTTATAAACGCCAATACGCAATTGACGGTACATAGACAAATCGGGCAAGCGAGCAAATGAGCGTGAGAGACATGGCGAAAAAAGAGCATAGACACACAACGCACATCACACCAATTATCAACCATAGCAAATGGATTTATTTCCCAATCAATTCATGGAATTTTGTTATTTGTACGGCTGTCCGAGGGCTATTTTTCTGGGCTTTCCAATCGAACTGAAACTGTCCGTGCACCGGCTCAATTTGGTTAACGATGTACTTATCATATCTCATTATTTGGGTTAACACATGATTTAGTCGCAGCGCACGGTGCGAAGGGAGAGCAAGAGAAATGGAGACACACAGAGAGGATGAGCGAATGAATAGTGCGGAATTGAATAGCCGATGACCTCACCGCCACTCAAACACTAATCGACCGGAATGAGCACAAACATAAGTTTACATGCTAAATCCAATGGCCAAATCTATTACAAATGTACACATGCAGCATGCACTACACACACACACACACACGAACACAGGAAAATTCGGCATTATATGCCAGTTAACCAGTAATCTTTTAATATTTCAAATCAATAGAAATGCGTGTTTTTCGGTTTTGACCAATTTCCAAATGTAAAACCCGACCATCAAACGGTTTATTTGATCTCAAGCATGTAATTCGCATCGATCGTTGTAAAAACACGCGCACCCAAATTTTGATTGATTGAAATGTTTACAATTAAATTCGGCATTTGGAAATTCCAACTATACAAACACAAAAGACTAGCCGAAATGCAATTGCTGTTTATTTTTCGGGTTTCGTCGAATGGAATTTTTGGATTGAAAATACTTGAAATCCCGAAAAAGGGATTTCTGCTTCAATGGAACTACCAACGTATTTTGATTATTGCTCAATAGCTAAAATTCCGACTACGGGGTGAATAAACTTGATCGATGCTAGCATTCTTGTTATACATCAAATAATTTGTTTTGATAAAAGATTTGACTGGGCCAAACAAATCATTCTTCTCTGTGTATGTGTTTCAAACCAGGCAAATCACAAAACCAAATACGAATTTTCATTCGGTCTGTCTAATAAATGCGCGTGTTCCATCGCTTTATCTTCAGTCGTTGTGTGCGTGTATATTAAGATTTACACCGGTTTATCGGCACCCCTCTCTGTTGCACGCGCGCCAGGCACCAGCTGCTCATATGACACAATACGAAAAAAATTGATGAAGTGAAAACAATCAACGCATTCGGAATGCGAACTATTACAAAGACGATTTTTTTTTACTCGAATTTGTTTGAAATGCGACAATACAAAGGAGGAGAAAAAACCGCTCATGCAATAAAAATCTCAACTTATTGCCGAAGCACAGTGGATTCGTGCAAGTCACGTGTCGCTATCCGATTGCGTTTATCATTGTCTGCAACGGCAAGTGCCGACTTTTTTTTTAAACTTATTCTTTTATCCCAATCTTTTTTATTTTCAATTTGCAGTGATTTTTTTTCCTTTATTTGAGTGTGTGTTTAGAAATTATCACCCTTTTCCGTTTGGCGAACAAGTGTCTGGGTTCTTGCTCCCGTGTGCAAACGTGCAGCGAAATGCGGCTGCAACAATTGTTGTCTGGATTTGGTTGAGATTTCAAATGAATTGCGGAGGGAGGAACTAGATATTATGGAAGCCGAAAATTCATTGTTTTACCGAATAATTATTTCAGGTTTGTTTATTGTAGTATGATTCATTCTACTTCTTAATTCACGTACTCAATACGATGAATGTTTTTGTTTTGAACTTCGGAAAAAATTCGACGTTTTTATATCGACTGCGAAATTTCAGTTGGCTGATTTGAAGATGATAAACATGAGTTTTGGAAAATGATATAGAAAAAGTTATTTACATTGCATTATTGAATATCTCAGCCATTTTTTGCTAACAATTTTTTTTATTGGTGTATCAAATTTTCAATTCCATGGTGTTTCAGACTTTCTATTCGGACCAATATCCTGAATGTATGGGCTCTAGATTATGGCATAAGATCTTGATGCTTTGATAAAGGAAAATTGTGTGAAAAAATCCTTTTATTCAATTTCACATGCAATGCCACTCAAGATTTAATGAATAACAGGTGTATATTTTGTGATAAAAGAATTTCTGGGATGTATAATCTAAAAAGCGAAGCAAATCCATCCTCATTAGTTGATGCGCAATCGATGGCTTCAACTCGGTTTCATTGGAATTAATATTGAATGAAAAAAATCTTCCTTTTTCTTGCCAAACAAAAAAGTAGACAGTTGATTTCATGTTTTCAATTAAGCCATCAAGCAAGCAATGAATGGCTTCTCCTGAACATGTAATTGTCAATCCACGTCTCTGCATAGTCGGTTGTCCATATTCCCTTAGCAAAGAACACTAACCTGGACAGTGTGTGAACCACCATTTCAATAATCTTTTAAAAAAAATCACTGAAAATCGCAATGGCCAAAATGTGATTCGCTCCAAATTCACAGTGTGCCGTAGTAAAATGATTTCCACGTGAAAGATATCATTAGCTCTAAAATCGAAGTTCATTTCATTTAAATTTGATGCTCATAATTCGATTATCCAATTAGCTTCCATATTACGTGAGTCAGTGAACATTAAAAGGAAAATTATCGACGCGCGAATACAGCGACGGCAAAGATATAGACCGGTGTATGTTTAACGGATGTTGCTGTTCCATTTGCACCGACCGTTTCATGGAGCTAGGTGCGAGTCAGTCAAATAGAAACACATACAAAATTGAATTAATCGCACTGAAAATGGAATCGATTAAATGATTCCGCTTAAATATCAATTTCATGGATTTACACCTATCGAGTGATGTTCACACGATACAATGCAATGGAAACAACTATAAAACTTGAATTATTGATGCGAAAAAACGATTCAAAATGAAATTCGATACAGATGAAGCCAAAAATCTCCGAAAAGTATGCGAACGACTGAGAATTCAGATGAATTATGCTTGAAGTGAGAGTGTGCACCATCTATTGGTGTATAGCCGAAGTGCATGAACTTTCAGTAGAAGCGAGCGAAACGAATTGAACGCACTCACCAGAGCATGTGACAGTTCTTGACAAGAGCCTATGATTTTTGTAAACAATGTGCTTGTGATTGCACGCAAAACACATCGCTCCGATTGAATTTCGTAAAAAAAAACACAAAATGCACAGCACACCAGAAAAAAATGCACTGAATACGAGCTCCTTTTCACCAGTTCGATGTGAGTATTTTATTTTTGTTATTTTTTTTCTCTCTCCAAATGTGAACTTTTTTTTCCACTTAACCAATATTGTGTTGATTTGTTGCAGTCACCGACAGTCCGTCACACGTAAAATCGATGAAAAGTGATAACATTGGAATTCGCCAACGATTGAAAGCCACCGCAAAGACGCTCGTTGAAAATCATCGCAAATGGGATGCAGCACATCGCCGTGGCAGTACATTGTGCAGATCGATTGAAAAGTGTAAATCGAATGCAATCAAAACATTCAACGACAATGACACAAATGCCGCCGACAAAACACTGTATCCAACGGAGTTGAAGCCGATTTGTGATAAATTGCAAGTGATTACGACGATATTTGAGGATGTGCGAAACAGTGCGAATGAATCTCGACGTCAAATAGTCTCGTTCATCAAACTCGGTTCAACGAATGTGTTCGTCGACAGTCCGTTGGTGTTTCACACATGGAATTGCTCAACGCTGCAAGACGCTATCGATCGAATTTGTGATGCATACGAAAAGGAGTACGAAATGAAAGTAAAAGTGATGGAAAATGTCGCCCACTCACGCAACGACGATGAATTGGCGATGCATTTAGCCGTATGGGAATATCAAACGCATGTCGATTCTAGTGTGGAAATTCTTGTCAAAGCACTAATCACCGAAGCTGATATTGAACTTGACGACAAAACATGAGTGAATAATTACATTTTAATCGTTATTCGATTTGAATAAATTAATAAAATCCAAACGACACAGAACACAAAAAAACTACTAGTCTTTTGCACTTGTTCCATAATTGACATTGAATATTCAACGATCTGTTGGAAATCTTATATAATTTAGTTCATGATTTTTGTTCTTTGGCTTGTATGCAATCAATTTGCATCATCAATTGACGTCTGTAGGCTTTAATTGAATCGTATGCCTTCTGCCACTGACTGCGACTCGTTGCCGGGAGTCAGTATTGATTGGATGTTGAACGGGACGGGACGGGACGGGACGCATAGCAAAGCGATAGACAATTAATTTCGATTTGTGCGACGAACTCCGAACACGATAAATACGAATCGGTTGGTTGGACGGTTGATCGGGCGGGAATGATTTGAATAATAAATATTGTAGTTGAAAAAGCAGTTCTAAACTTGTTCGCAGCTGTCAACGTTTTAGTTGGTTTTGGTTTGATGTGGTGAAATCCGTGGGCCGCTCTAGCATGTAAAGTCAAAAAAGAAGTGCCATAGAGCAATTATGCGCTAGGTCTAATTGATTCGAATTGATCGTGTATAGTGGCGATGGCATTTTGTCAATAGAACGCTCGCTCATATTTTTGAATTGGTTTACGCACGCGCGCTTCGGCGCGCACTAGGGTCATCGGCGAGTTCAAATTGTGCCCACGGAAGCGTGCCTTTTTAAGAGAAATTTACGAACAAAACTTAATTGGCTGTAAAGTTTGTAGTTTTTTCATTTCATTCATTTATTTCAGGATTTTTCTTGTTATCAAATACACAAATATAGCTTTTTTTTTAAATTTTATTAGATTGTTTTCTCTCGTCCGTAAATATTGTTACAGTCTAATTTTATACTTAACCTAATAAATTTATCACAATTTGGCACAAACATTCATTCTTCGAATTTTGGTTCTCTCACTTACACTATTTTATCTGTATCTCTTTTTCTCTTCATTCATTAAATTCTCGTCTAACTATTTAATGACTAATATAAATACATGTATTTGTGTTGCTGCTGCTTGCTTTTCATCTCATTGTTGTGTGTGTCTTTTTCTCTATTTTTACAATGTTTCTTTTTTTATATACGTAACACACGTTGCGTGCAACAGTTTGCCTTTCAATCTCATTAAATCTAATTGAATTGAATGAAGAGAGAAAAAAACTCAACGAAATAGTAGCTCGAAACTTGTGACAATAGCATGACTTGTGTGATTGAGAAAACAAAAAATCACAAATTTATAAAGAAAAGCGAGCGAGCGCAAGCGCTGGCACGACTCACGATCGGCGCGCACAGAAAGTGAATCTGTTCTTGTGAATTGAGCGCAATTTTGTGTGATGTGCAGTTCAGCGTGTAATTGATTATTATGATTGCCAAGAGATTGGCGAGTTAGCAGAGCACCGAGCTCTTTTACTTTCTCGATGGTTTATTGGGCGACGGATTTATTTTTCTCGGTTTGTGTTTTTCAAGCGTAATCGCTGATTTGTTGTTCCATGTCTTTCGCAACAATTTTATGCAGTTCGTGGTATTATCGTCGATTTTATGTGCTTCCACAATGTGAGAAAATGAATGCCATTGAATTTCGAAGAAAAAAAAAAGTAAAATATCGTTGAATAATATTAGAAAATTGCTCATTTGCATGAAAACCTTTTCGCTGAATTTTGAACTACTTCGCATTTGTCGTTATTTTTGAACATTTTTGATTTAAATACTAAATTTCGGTTCTACACGGGAAAAAACGAAAGCATTTTAAAATAATTTTTATAATTTGAATTGAAATTCGTCGAAAGAAAAATCAAAAATTGAACTAAACATTAAATGAAACTGTTTTCGGAAGAAAAAAAAATTGGAAAGCATGGGATTTAATGGGACACATGAGCAGATGCCGTAAAAAGAATGTCAGACAACGGTTGTTTGCCACGTTTCAAAAATCGCGCAAATACCCGAATGCAAACACAACCATCACACACTTGACTATTGACCGTGCATAGCATTTTCTCTACACTTTCTTGTGTCCACACACGTATTCATCGACACACAGCGAACGTCCGAACAAACAAATTCTTATACGAAATTCTTCTGGTCAGGCTCTGATTGCCAAAAATTTGGCGACGATTTGAAATGTACAAAGCGTCTTAATGTACGAAATAAAGTAGCATGGGGGCGAGGTGTCGATAAACTCATAAACTCATCATGTGGCTGTCCAATGCAGCCGTTTTCAGCACACACACACACAAGAGGACGTTGTGCGCAAATAGTTTTCATTAAGTATTGTTTACGACTAGAATTAACACAAAAATATTGAGTAAACACATAAATGAAAAAATTAAAATTTTACGCACGAAAAAATGGTCGATTTTAGAATTTCGACTGCTGCATGATTTTTTTTTCGTTTTTTTTCGTTTTTTTTCGTTTTTGAATTTCACAATCATCACATGTAAACGTTGTGCGGTGGCGGCTACAGTTACTCATTATATTCTTAATACGGTTTTGGTCACACAAAACAATGGCATTGAAAATGACCGTCAATTTGGAGTGAAATAATGTGAATGATTTCACATGGAACGCCAATACACAAAACAAAAAAAATTAAATTCTCTTCCAAATTTAAATACAGCTCATGAGTTTTTTGTTCTCGTCAAATTTTTGTTTTTTCATTATAACCATTGACGTTAATCGACTTACAAACACTGAATACCTAGCTGAATACTAACATCGTTTTTTTTTGCCTTACAAACGAATAATCTCAAAATTGATCAGACTTTTCGAGAAATGATTTCGTATACCGGTGAGTAGTTGTAATTGAAATTGGAAGCGTGACCAGAGAGCACAACTTCATTCTTATTTCTTAGCTAGACTTGTGAACGTTTTTTTTCTTTCGGTTTGGAAGAGGCAAAACGTTCGATACAAAGAGTTTGGTTAATTGAGCGTTTTGCTGAATGAGTTGGCGTTCGGAAGACCCAATGGATTTTGAATCGTGATGACAACAATTTTGCTGCAAAACCGAACATCGCATTAATTTGCTAACTCCAATTGAATACAGCAAAAACTAGGAGACATTTCTAACTTTTGCACCAAACACCTAGCTCAGTACACTTGATTCACTTGCTACGCTATCGCAATCGCTCGATTTTCGCGTAATACTATGCTCATTCGCTAAATCCGATGCTGTTTGCTCAATTGTGATGACTGTTGATGGGCTACAGCTATTTGATACATTTTCATTTGTTTGACTTATGCTATTACTACTACTATTCGCTGTGCCATTTCTCGTTGTAATCACACCATTTGGTTGGCTAATGCCCGGATCTGGGCTGATGTTAGCAACAGAATCGTTACTGCTGCTGGTCGTTGTTGCGTTGATGTTTCGGCTAATCTCCAAATCGGCGTAATTTGGCAATGACACATCTTGGTAATATTTGGTTTGCAGTAAATTGGCTGGATTCAATTTAATGGCATCGTCGTAACACGGTGGCTCCAATATCACAACTGAATCGTACTCGGGTGGCTTTTCAACGGTCGGCGGATCAGCCACCGATATCACGTGGATGGCATCATTATCGTCGGTCTGTAATAAAAAAAAACGAAATGAATAAAACACCATAAAATTAATGAAACGGCCACACATATTGGAGATAACGCTTATTTTGATTCATACTACGGTTGAATAGAAAAAATGAACCATTTCTCCAATCACGCCTAAGATTAATTGATTTCCATCAAATGAGACAAACAAGCAATCAATCACCTAATTAGCGGTTGAACAACGACATTATTCAAATTGTGCGCACATTTTGATCTCGTTCAATTCAACTCAGATTGAAATTCGTTTGGCAAATTGCGATCTCGACTTTCCAATCATTTTATATCAAGCTGGTCATTGACTGATGATAGCTGTCTTATATCATGACATTCATTCTGTTTACGTTGAATTTTTTATTTTCAGTAGAAATTCAACCAAACATTAGATTTGGCAAACGAGGCCAATAATTTGCTGCCCACATCGTTCCTCGAATTCACAGTGATCAGTTTATTTTTTTTTTTCGGCGAAAGCAAGATGTTAGTCATCACTATCGAAACGCAACCAATGAGATCATCGAAATTGATACGAAAGTGCGAAGCGTTCATTGTAAACGAAGCTCTTGATGTTTATTTGAATTTGTGTGTCTCAGCGAGTCGAGACTTTGTTTAGAGCTGGGAAAACCAATGTTTGAGTAGACGATTTATTGCCGATGATCTGTTTTGAAATTTCCCTCGATTGACATGCAATTTTGAATGTGCAAAAATAACCGATACGTATACTGTACAGTCGTATACAGATCAAATGCCTGATAATTATCCAAGTCGATTAAGCTGTTTTTAACAGATCAGCAGACTCTTTGTTTAATCAGTTGTCGAGACAATCGAACGCATTGGCGTTTGAATAAATCGGCGTTTTTGGCATGAAATCGAAATTCAAATTTCACTGGGTTTTTCAACGGATGTCTCTTTGAGATCAATTTTCTGTGACATTGGAAATTCAATCCGCACTTCACAGATGGATCGAAGAATAAAGCAGAATTGTTTGAAGTAAACTATTTTCGGTTATCAACTCAATCCTCTTAAATTCATTATTCAAATTCTTCAAACTACGTAATAAAATCTTTTAACCGTCAATCATCCAATTGGATTCTATTGGAAAGTCCTATTGAATGAGACTTTTTGAACTGAATGTATCAATACCAATTGTCTCCGATTGGAGACAGAATAATATATTTGAATTCCAAGGAAAAAATCGAATTTCTGTTCAAAACAAGAGAACTGTTGACGCAAAAGAGCGAATTTTAGGCTTGAAATCATGAAAATGTCAGTCAAAATTTACACAAAAAATGGCATTAAAATCGGATAATCCATTTGCATTCATAAATAGTGGATTATTTAAAAGCCCAAATTTCAACTTGATTCGTTCAATCAGTCGTAAAAAAGCGGGAAATAAATGTGAGTGTGTACTATTTATGCTTCAATAAAATGTTATTAAAATGTGTAATTGAAAGTGCAATTAATGCAATGAAAGTGGTAAAAAAATTATTTTTTTTTAATCAAGTAATTTTGTGTATCAAACGGTGCATTTGTATAGTTTAATTACGATAAAACAACGTCAATTCGTTCAATGTTCATGTTCAATAGCCGGTTCATTTCATTTCATATATGTGTCGTTGTAAAACCGCATTTCAACCAGAAAATATACGATTAAACGGATCTTGTTGAAAGTTGTTCCTATAAATTTCAATGCACACATTCAAAATTGACTCTCTTTTTTTCTGTTCAGCAAATGTCTCTGTCAATATGGTTGGTCGATTCGGTGTTTGTTACTGTTTCGAGTTTTTTTTTCCATTTGATTTGCATGGCAAATAAACATTAGCGCTTATGTGAAACGGTTTTTGGTTCATTCATTCATTGTTCAAGCCGCGTGGTCGGGCGTATGTGTGTGTGTGTGTGTGTTTGTGTTAAATAGTGAATGACCGTAAAATGTACACGAATAAATAATAATAATTACCTCAGACACACCAACGGCACTACGATTTGGTACATGAAGCCAACAGCACATCGCTGTACAAATTAAAAATGCACCGCCAATGATGCAAGCCACGCCAGCGTAACGAAACGGATCTGTATAGTTTTCAGCCAAACCAATCCAATTGATGAGCGCCCCAAAGCACAGCAGAATCATACCATATCGATATGGTTTTTGTGTACGTTGCGCTTCCTCCGGTGTCATTACTAAACAAAGTGAAAAGTAAAAAATGCAAATGAGAAATGCAAATTCAGGAAAAAAAAAAAATTAATTAATCGTACAAAGTAAAGCAGAGAGAGAAGGAGAAAGAGTTCACTAGTGAGTTTATAATTTAAATCTAATGGTCATTACAACGGAAATAATATCAGTTGCAAACTTGAGTTCCGTTGAGAATTTCACGTGATTCTCTCTTGTTCAGTGAGTTCCGTTTCAGTTCCATTTAAAAGGCTACGCGGAATTCATTGACATTTGTATCATGTTATTGCATGTTCCTTGTTTTTCACTATATATAGTGAAATTTTATCGAAGGTTAATTGGCGTTTTATTCTTGAATCCAGTTCGTAAGCAAACTTTTATGCCTGCAAGCGCATGATTTAAGCAGAGTGCTAAAATGATTCAAACGACACATCATGAAAACGACTATAAATTGATAGATTGTGAAATTGATTAAGAACTCGCTTTGAAAATGTGGTGGGCACAAATTACAAAGTAAACAGTAACACTTCACATCGTTCGTTGGCAGCAATGACTCAAAAGTGTCAATGTATCAAACGTGAAGCGTTAAAACTGCTTACGTATTCAGCACTAATCGCAGTACAATAGAAGTGTAACGTAATTTAACAATGATTCACCAATTTACTCTCGTATAAAGTTTGTTTAACGGTATACAGAAGGTCTACACACGGTAGATCCTACAACCAAACAATTGTCTTCACGAATAGTCGATTTTCTTTCCGTTTTCGGTTCGATTCAAAGAACAGACGATCGTTTTTTTTCCCGTTTCGTGAATAACCAATCTAATCAGTTTGCGGAGAGTCTGGCTTTCACATGTGGTTTGAGTCGAATCATGTTTGCTTTTTCGGAAAATACGATGTCTATTTACTCAAAAAAACAACAACTTTTAGGTAAACTTCCGTTGTAGCGGTCCATTTACCGTATGCAAATCGGCAAAAAAAAGTTGTTAGTATTTAAACTCGAGAAACCTCTTTTTGTCTCGCTCCATCTATTGAGTGTCAATGTGCGATGCGACACGACGCATTCGATTGCTTAACACTTAACAAAATACAGATTTGGAATGGAAATCACAATGTACGGAAAAAATATTCAGCTCGAAAATTCAATGTCATCAAGAAATTTGTTCAGTATTGAACAAAAAAAAACAAATCAACACAAATCAATATGCGAATATGATCAAAGAAATCGTTATCGATTTTGAAAATCGTTCAAGCATTGGTTAGATTAGGTCCAATGCTCAAAGCAATGTCATCCGAACCAGTTTTGTCTTAATGCGCAGCGTTTTAAGTGTTTTCGATTCAGATGTCGACGTTGTATGAGGCGTGTTACAATCTTAATCTAATTTCAGACGTAAATTAAACCATTGATTTATATTTAACACTAAAGAGTAATAGGCTAATTGTGTGAGGGAGCCCACCATGCCGCATGCAGTGAAAGAGACAGAGAAAGAGAGAAAAGCAAAGCAAAGCAAAGCAATGAGATAAAAAAGCATTTTCTTATCAAGCCATTTTACATTAAAGAATCACATGATCACCACACGTGCAACACTAAAATCAAGTACCGTTACAACGGAATAGTTTCCAATGTGTTATCTATCTCTCGTTGCCTCGAAGGTTCTGTTTGCTTTTTTGTCAACGTGTGTGTTCAAAACAGTTTCTCTTTTGTTACACCCACTATCACAGCGCGCGTCGAGTGTGTGCTCTCGATTTCACCAGGTGCATTCAACCACAATAACAACAACAACAACAACGACAATGTTATACAAAACAATCACAGTGTGTGTGCATATTTGTTAGTTTAACTTACCATCCGATTGGTAAAAATTCCGATGGAATGTGTCCATTGATACTCTACGCGACACGTATGTCGGTGCTTCCATTTTCGCTATTTTATTTGTCTTTTATTTCTGACACTGAGTGTAAATGTGTTTGAGTATGTGTTTGTTTGTGTCTTTGGACTTTGTTTTTTTTTTCTGAGATGCAAAACAATTTTCTGTTTGTGTCTTAATGTGTAAACGGGGTGTGTGTCAGTGAGATTAATTGGTCTTTTCACGTGAAAAATGTTACTAGCATTCTTTAAAAAGAGAAACAAAGGAGGAAAAAACAAATCAAGATCAGTATAGTGAGAGATATTCAAAACAATGATCTGATAGCAAAAGTAAGACACATACGCTAATTAATTTATTAAGATGCGATTTAACTACTGGAATTTTTGGTGGAATTTAATGCGTTAATGTTATTCACAATGAACTTAATTCAATGACAAGCGAATACGGTACACACACAAAACGCAGCCAGTCTTTGGTTTGGCTTTTTTTTATTGTGAAGTGTGGAGACTTCATCTAAAAAATGGATCAGGTAGCCATCAAGTGGTTTTTGTTTCGTTTTAGGTTCAACAGACCATTTTGGCTGGCTGCTATGAACACTTTCGAATGCTCATATGAAAATGATTTTTTTTTAATGTTAAAAATCGGTCTGAACAGTGTTAGTGACATTGAGACAACAGTTTTGGGTTATTGCTACACACAATACTATGCCACATGATTTGATCAAAATTACCCATACGATGGTTGTTCGAAAATCTATCGAAAAATGCGTGTGTTGATATTTATTTGATAGTTCACACCAAAATGAAACCAAAACACAAACAACAATTACTTAAAATGATACCATTAGCCACAAAATCCATTTCCATATTCGATATAGAATTGCCTTTGCCATTGTTCACTACCCAAATTTTATACCTAACGTGATGTGAATTCACATCTACCAAAACTGAATGTAAATCACATGTGTTTGTTTCTCTTATCGCCATAGAGTCATGGATATCATCGAAAAAAAACTATCGCTTATCCGCCACGAGGTTAATTTGATTATATATGAAATTATTGAGCCAAAAGCTACGGCCGTTCGTAGACACAATTTTAAAAGATGAGTCAAGGCATTTGTACATGATGCAAAAAGTCTTGATTCGATACCAATTATAGCGTTTTAATCACATTGATTGTGAAAGAAAAAACCGTGATGATAGAAAAAAAGCAATTTATAGAATCAATCTTGAACAAAAAAATTGCCTCAGGTGAAGAAACTCAAAGAGTGGGAAAAAAATGCTTCGAAAAAAGAGATCATAGTCTTCTGAATTATATAAAAAATTGGTTAGATCAAAGAAATAAACCATGATTAGAAAAAATAAATCGTCTAGCTGGAGAATTAGTTAGATCGAGAGAAAAAAAATCGATTTGAATTTGAGTAGAAAAAAGCGGTTAATTCGGCTCGGACATATGGCTGAGTCGTCTATTTATAGAGTAAAATTTAATTTGCCATCACCTAAGCCGTGTCTACGCATGTGATATAGCAAATCAGAAGATGAATATGAATTTTTTTTTTATAGAAATATAATTTTCAATTATGCATGACTATTACTAAACTTCCTGTTGATCAGGTAAGGTTTCAACCTCCGATGTAATGAGATTCGTTAGCAATATTTTGCATTTGTTTTGTTTTTTTTTTCCATTTTGTTTGGATCAGTGCGTCGGTAAATCTTCCGTAAAGTATCTCAAAACAATGCCATAAATATGTGTTTGCCTAGACTAAAGATGTTTAATTCGATGCGATCGAATAACGAAAATCACCTAAGCACCAAAAACAACGACGTCGTCAGCAACAATAACAACAACAAAGCCAACGGCAAAAGCAAATAATTCATTACAAAATCAAGGTTAGACTAAAATGCTAAAACATATGATATCACATCAATATTCGGTATGTGGAATTGAGAGAGAGAAAGAGAGCGAATGGCACGGTGAGAAAAAACACGCACGTCGCACTTCATATGCTGAATGTGTGTGTATTCAAAATGGAGAGAGAGAAAAAAGAAGGAAACAGAAAATTGAAACGACGAAGACAAACAACACACTACATGGCGATTAAATACGCTTTTAAATATGGTAAGCAAGTAACGATCGCGCGCACGCACGTCTCACTCATAACAATCGTTCAACGGCAACAACAAAAGCTGCCGTGATTACGCGGTGCTTTGTGAGCAACACAGCACACGGCGTGTCTGTGTTTTATGAAAATACATGCTTCCGTATTCTACTCGTAACATTTATCGTACTCATGAAATATTCTTTTTGCATGCGATAATCAATTAAATTTCATTTTTTTTTTTGCCATTAAAATTGACAAAACATAAAAATTTATGTGCATTTTAACAATGATACGATGTTTTTCTCTATCTCCTTTCATCTGACTCGACCACTTTTGACTGCATAAGGTTTTCTCATTGGTTACTGTTCGTGTTTTGCATTACCGGTTTTGCATGTGAAGAAAGAAGTTGGCATGTGGTGTGTGACCGACCACTGTTACGAACTTGTACTTGAATTAATCTCATCATTTTGTGGCTGGTATTTGCTTTTGCGCGTTGCACATTGTACGCGTGGAAAAGACGTCAAAGAGAAGTGCTTTTCAGTCTCTGTTGTAAAAGTAACAGTCAGTCCTGTCACTGAAGTCTGTCCAGTGGTTGGAGTCACTCCAGTACACCGGACGATCTCACAACATTCATGAATGATCAGCGGAAGAACTGGATGAAAAGCAAATAGAACTGACCCGTGCCGTGGCTTTAATTATGAACCGTGTCGCAAAACAATGGACTCATCAATTTTCGATTCTTCTTTCTTTCATTCTGCTTCGTTCATCCGCGTCCAGACATTCGTGGCTTGTCATTGTCTTTTTTCCACATGCTTTCTCTTCACAATGTGCAAGCGCATGGAATAAAAACAACGGAAATGAATTCACCACATCGACCATGGTCAATATGTTCGCTAGCTGAATGCAAGTGCATGAACAATTGGCCAAACATTACTCGACGCCATGGCCAGTCGATGACATTTTTCGACAACTCCTTCCCGTTGTTCGTTCCGTTTCGTTTCTTTGGCTTGTAAAATTAATAAAACCACCCAAAGATCACACAAGTTCAAAAGGTTAACACATTAAATGGGCTGCTAACCTATTGTCCAATGAAATAAATAGTTCACTGCAGTAAAAATAGACGTCCGTTCACGGCACTCGGATTGATAGCCAATTCAAAATCTTGAAGTGGTCGTTTATTCGTGTCAGTTCATCGATGCGCCGTGCCACGCTCACCAAACCAACCGATCAATGCTCGGCCAATTGAATTCGAATTTTTTTCTTTTTAACTTCTTTTCATTACGGTTGATTGTTTCATAAAATGATTGGCTCAGAATGCCAATTGTTCGCTTTTTCCTTTGGTGTTGGAGAGAATGAAAAAAAAAAAAGAATGGAGCCAAACAATGTACACAAAAGAATTATTGCAAAACGGTATTTATTCGCCCATTCATAATAATAATTCAACTATCATCGACAAATCATAAAAGTGAGCTGCTGCTGCTGCTGCTGCTGCTGCTGCTGCTGCTGCTGCTGCTGCTGCTAAACAACGAGCACGAGTGAAATGGAGCGATCGAAACGCGAGAAAAAACATGTCAGCCTTTAATTTATTTTCAAATCAACGCAAGTAGCAAATGCACTACTCTGAGATGGTGGTGGCTCATAAATTTAAAATAAATGTGCGTGCTGAAACATGTTCTATTTTCATGTGGGACAGCAAATAAGCAGGCAAGAGAGTGAACGAGCGAGTGAGTGAAAAAAAATAGAATCAAGAAGAAAGGTAAATGTGAGAGAGATCGGCGAGCATGGTACGTGATTTTGCTAGCACAAAAAATGCTTTGAATATGAACATTCGCTCGTTGTGGAACATGAAATATGATCCGTTCCTTTTTGTATAATTTAAATTGAAAGAGCGAACGCGTGCGATAGAGAATTCAAATCGCAACCTGGATTGATACTCGAAAAATTGCCAACGGCACCAACACACAATAGCCCGTCACATGAACAAATCACTTGGCGAACTCATTCACATAGCCATTTTAACGAACAATATATCTCAGCGCACGGATTTTGGCTGTCGAAATAAATCGTCACAACTATGCCGCTAATAGATTTTGAAAAGTTTCATTTTTCTTTATTTCGTGTGTGTGTGTGTGTCTTTCTTTGACCCGTCAACGTTAATGAGTTGGTTCAACTCAAACAACAAACAAAACATGAACATCAACATAAAAAGAAATTGGTGAATAAAAATAAACCGTTTTCGATGACAATTTCATAAATTGAACTCTGACTTTGACATTTCCGTCGAAACCTTTTGCTTTACAATGGAAGAAAGAGAGAGAAATGAAACATTACCGAAAAAAAAACCTCGATCGCTCTGGATATTTTGGCTGGATGGGCATAAAAACCAGCTTATTGTTACTGTGTGCTTAAGCAAGTCATTTGAAGAGATACCGTTTTCTTTCTTTTAAATTTCAACTCACATCGAACACGGAAAAAAAAATGAAGAAAACATGGTTGCTCGATACGATTTTCTTTCATAATGTCAGCCCGTTGCAATGTATATGATTTGAAAACAATTTTACGGATTTGAATTGAATAATGGTTCGATTGTTGTTGGCATTTTCACATTTGTACAGAGAGAAGAAAAAATAAAATAATTCGCAAAATTGCATCTTGCATTCATTTTTTGTTTTCTTTTCGATTTTTTTTCCGCTTCGAATTCAACAACATCGTAGTAGAGTTACGATAAACGGTTGCTCACGTCAAAAAAAAAAAAATTATCATTTTCCCTTACATGTGACTTTTTTTTGCTCTATCTTTGGAATAAAAGTACGTATAAAATTTACAACTGAATTGAATTGTACGGCAATTAGCGCAACTGTTAGTGTTGGTGGCACGTATTTGATTCAGCCATCAATTGCATACGGCTCTCAAGACAATGAGACAGCGAGACAGCGACTAGCAACGCAAAAAACAACATACTCGCAAATAAGAAATGATTCATTAGATTTGTTATGCAGTGTGTGTGTGTGTGTTTCGGTTGTGCTGAAAATGGCAAAACCGAGTTTGGATGACGGAACCAACCGTTTTGGGTTCCTTGAAAATGTGCAAACGTGTGTCGGACTTTGGTTTACCTTTGTTAGCACTTAGCAAAGCGCATTGCGTTTTCTCACTCGCTCTGTCTGTCTCAGTTCAAACATTGTTTACATTTGATCGAGTTCAAACCGCGCGGTTGAATTGTGCTCGTGCGCGTGCGAGCGAGCGAGCGAGTGAGAGAGTGAAATCCAAATTCTTATGTACATAGCGACTAATTTCGATTTCATGTATGTTTCAAAACATTTCAATTGCTTTAACAATCGCGCGCGCTCACACACTGATCCGATGTCTTAAAGTCAACGCTTTGTGTGCGCCCACACTCAATCAAATCAACGCTAACATGAACCACGAATGATGACGCGAACATTGTTTACAAAATTTTGCCTTTCATTTGTTTTGCATGTTTTTTTTTCTTTTCTTGTCTCGCGAGCGTTCGTTTTTCTCTCTGTTTATAGCGGCAAAACAAATACGAAGTGGAAGACGAAAGAAAATAACAGTTTGAATTTGCTGGGTTATTCCAAGAATTCCTTTAATTCTTTTGTGTGACACGGATTGTTTCAAATGAGTGTGTGTATATATCTAAAGGCCTATATAGCCGCTTATTATCTACCGCTCACGCACAATCTTTCAACTTCATGCAACAGTAGCACTGAGCATATGGTGAGTGTTATCACTGTCCTAGGCATTTATCGTGATTGTCATTATCAAATGCGCTCGCGCGCGCTCAAAAGAATTGTTTTTCTTGTAAAAACCAAGAATAGGTTAGCTTTGTTATAGCCTACGGTAAATGTTCTATTCCGTTGCATCTCCATCTCCTAAATACCGATGTTTGCATCGCATGAGCAGCGATGCATTCGTGGGCAGAACGATGATCGCGATCACAATTTAAGAAGCAGAAAAAAACAAATGGCAACGCATGAATGTCAGTTCATTTCGGTTTTTGTATGTGCATGAGTCAAAGACCGTTATCGGAAATGAACAGTTGAACTATTCAATGTTGCAATCGCAATCACATAATAAAAAAATAATAAAAAACATCAATATTGAAATCAAAAGGTTCGCCAACTTTGCGATATTAACATCAATATATATGTCATAAGCGATTTGTTTGCATGACGAAACCCGTGCCACAGAGAAGGCGAAAATAACATTCTAGGGAAAAAAAGAACCGATAGTCAGGGTTTTTTTGTTGCTTCTTTTGTTTCTCCGCCGATGATGATGACGACGTTGTTGTTTATTTGGTTCTTTTGTACGAAGAAAATACAATAAGCTGATAAGGTCTGACTTTGTAACACGGCGCACACAAAACACATGAACATCTCGGAATGAGTCGAAGATAAGACCGGAGAATGAATAGCAGTTGCAATGGCATGTGACTGTTTTTTTCCTTTCTACATTGAAGCGATGGGATTGGCAAAAAACCAGTCGCACTATTTTTATAAATTTACTTTTTGCTATTGCCATTGTATTGGTGTGTGTTTACTTGTGACTATTGTGTCGCCGAGCCGAGCACAAGGTAATTCAAATTGGTACTTAATCGTAAACTGGATTTTAACACTCTTTTTTTCTCTCTCTCTCTCGCGTAACGTACTAGTCTAATGGATTATTATTATGATCGATGTTATCGTCTAACGTTTCTGCGGTTTGAATAATATCTCTTTGATAATTGACACTTGACAAGCTGTTAATTTCTATTAACAAATCCACAATGGATTTTATAATCGATCGACACTGTCACAGACTGAAATGAACGAGACTTGACTCATATAGAGAGCAAAAAAGAGCATTTCTCCCTATCTCTCTCTCTCTCTGGAATAAAAATAAAACAAAATCACATCTCGTTACAAATAATACGGCATATCAATCGATTGCCCGTCATAACAATAAACAATCAGTGCGAGTGAATGTGAATTCCATGCGTTGTATCGATTGCATTTTCTGAATTCGCAATTGCACATTGTTTCACTTATTTTAAACAATGTTTCACGCAGTTAATAAACAAACAAACAAAAAATCCGATTCGACCATTTTAACAACATGGCGTGCAACAGTCGGGTGTGTCAACAGCGAACGCGCCGGTGTTTTTTTTTCCTTTCCCTCCTCTCGCATGTGAGTGTGTCGTTGTGTCGCAGCAAATTAGTAAATATTTACAAAAATTCGTGAACGCGACAATTTCGATGGGTGTCAAATTGAATTGATTATTCAAAAAAGAACAAACCGTTTTGATTATCTCGGAAAGAGAAAAAAAAACTCGGAATTCAATACGTCGAATCAGCGGTTTTGGCATTGGCTAACAGAAAATACAAATAACGAGAAAAAAAGTGTTCAACACTTTTCCAAGCGAAAGAAAAATTCTCTATATGGGATCAAATGAATTCATCGAATGATGTGATTGATGGTGGTGATGATTATATTTTTTTGGGCTGGAAACAGATTTGTGTATTGATCCAGTTGGATTTCGTTTAATTGCGAAATTTCCTACTTGGTAACACGTCATACAAATACATACATGAATTGTTGGTCATGCTACAAATATTTGATGATATGATAGCATATGCCATCAAGTCCAAAAAAAAAAAATACACTAAAATTAATAACCAATTCTAAAACCCGATGAACGAACCATGAATTTGATGATTAAATGGAACAGAAAACGACTACTGAATAACAACAACACAGAAATCTTATGATCAACACGAAAAATATATCAATGTGAAAATGTTTCAAAAAGAATGTATTTTTTTTTTTGGAGTGTATATGTGTGTGTATTTTTTTTTACCGAAACTGTATCGCCTTCTATATTTAGCTAGAATGTAGCACATTTCAATTTATCATCCAGAACCGAACACCAAACAAATAACACGGCGAATGAGAGTCGTCGCTCGCCGTACACTTGATCCAAAAATTATTTATTGTAACTGGTTACGGTGTGTGCTCTTGCTATTGCGATTGTGAAAGAGAGCCGATGGTTTTGGTCGGTGCGCCGCGGCTAAAAGAGATTTTGCGTGGCCGGTTATTAATGCGTTTTTATTAATAAATTCTCGTCAGAGTGCATGCGCTCTCTGTCCGTTCACAAGATACACGCTCACGATCTTCGTACTTTAAGTTTTTATTTCTACGTTCACCACACACATACACAATCTGTACGGATTTTTATGAACTCGAGGAAACAAAAATCCACCAGAAACAGAACTAGATTTTAATCAGAAAACACTTTGTTCATTTGTACACACAATGCAAATGCTTCAAGTTATTTTGCTGGTTTTTGGGCTTATTTTTCGTTTTGTTCACACAAACGAAAAATTCGAATCGTGTCAATTTCTCAACCGAATGTTCTTACTTGTTCTTGTTCTCCGACCGAAGAGTGGAAAATATGAAGTGATCGTTGGTCCGAAAATAAAAATGCGTTATTTTTTGTGTGCAAGTGGAAATGATATGCGACAGCCGCTTTTCCAAATTTCGGTGTTATTTTTATCACACACGAGCAAAAAAAAACACTTTGTTTAGTCTCTTCACAACGCACAGAACTAACTGTATCTTCTGGGATTAATGGATTCGAATCGATGGTGTGTATTTTTCTTGGTAACCGTTTTTTCTGGACAAGTTTAAATCTCCGATGACAAAATACGATTTTTTTCGGTTGTATTTCGAATATGCGAGACAAAAAACCACTGAACTGTTGGGCTATACACAAAAATACACACGGAATACGATAATTCACACGATAAATTTTCTTTCTCTAAATGCAACGGGCAGACAAGAGTATAATACTTCTTCTTCTTTCTTAGTTGGACATTCGGATTTAAAGGTTTTGAACACGATATTTCAACGCCGTGATACCACTATTATTGGCTTGCTACCTTGGCAAGACGGTGTACGCAACTAAAGTTAATTTTATTTTAACTGTTGCTAATAAGCATCGAGTCGCTTTTTGACGTTGCGCGCACTCGTTCGCTTTCTCAAGCCGCTCACGCACACACTCACACGCCGCCGTGCCTCGAAAAGTGCTCAAACCGTCGTGATGATTAACGATTTGTGTGAAACCGAAAGCAATACAAAACAACACCAAACAGCACAATAACAATGGCCAACGGCGAGAACGATCACACGAACGGCTTGAAGTGAATGAATTGAGTGAAATTGAAATACACAAACTCGCATGCGTACGTTCGTATGACGGAGCGAACGATACAGCGCTCAGCTGACTGATCAGACTCAAACAATTGCTTTGCATTCCAAGCTTTACTACACAAAATACAATGAGCGAAAAAAACGAGTTGAGTAAAAACGAGAAGAAAAAAACACAATATTGAACGAGCTGTTGAAAGGTTTATATGATTTTTTGCAATTCATGAAATGTGTATTCTATTTTTAGCGAGTTTTATGTTGGGAATGTCAGGTTTATTTATCCAAGTTTTTTTGTTATCAACACCGTTTTTCTCTCAACTTTCATATTGAAATATAAAATTGCGTGAAATTTTTGAAATATTCAAACACATTTTTGAGACAGACAAAATCCGGCTCATATGAACAGGTTAAACTTGACGCAGAGAGATACAAAACTTCTTCTGGAACTCAATTTGATGTAATTAGCAACAATCATTCTCACTCAATTCCACATGATTATTTCGAAATGAACTTATAATTGAATGATTGCAATCACGTATTTGATATCGATACGATTTTATCTGAAGAGGTGATTGAGCGCTATCACAACGATGCCACCAATGACGTACTATGTTATAATTTTATAAACGTCTTAATGGCCGTGTTTTAATATTAGACACGATGACATCAAACATTCTCAACTTATTTTGCGGCATCTCGATAAAAGCGAAAAGTGTAAACAACATTTCATCACGATGAATCGCATCCCGACTCATGTTCAATTCCATTGTCATCGCATGACTAGTGTAAATAGATCAAAGACAAATTCAAACACAGCAGATGAAGTTTTAATAATGATCAAATATCAAATTTAGCTAATTGGCTAAGATATTAATATCTTTAACAAAAGAAGAATAATTTACACTCTTTCTTATCCCGGAATCGAAACAATTGGTATATCAACATACAGTTAAAACATTGGATTTAAATTTTTGCTTCGAATGACTAGATAAAACACTTGATTTATTTTACACATAAGCTTATGTGGCTTACTTGAATCGAAAAAGTATCTCGTATCAAAAAAGAAAACGTAAAGTCAAAATTGACTGCTATTCCATGACCACTTTAAGCAAAAACGCTTTTACCAACAGCAAGCAACATTTTTGTTATTCTGATTTAAGTTTTGAATTTTCATATAAATTAAATATTCTAATGCGATAAAAAAAAAACATGCCAATAAATTAGTTTTTTTTCTTGAAAAATAATATTTATTCCACTTTTTACACGCATTCAGGCAATTAAAACAAATAGAAAAGCCAAATATTCACAACCAACGATTCAAAGTTCATTTTTAATTATTTTTTATCATTATAAATCATTAAATTTGTCATGCAATAATTCAAGTGAAACTATAGACATTTGACACAAATTTAATGAATTTAACGGTAACACAACGGGTGTTTAAATCAGTTCAGCGTAGAAAAGATGATTTGTTTGTTTTTAAAGCTGAGAAAATGAAGTGATTGAACCTTCACTCAAGCCCATCCGCTTCAAGCTTCAAAACTTTTACTGGTTCGATTGAATATAAAATTTTGATCATTTCCTATTTGATTTCTATTTTTGGTCGATCACATTTTTTGAATCGTTTTTCAAATGAGAGAGAAAGAAAAATGGTATAGCCATAGTTCAAACCTTGAAAGTGAAAAGTGTGAACTATTGCTCTCTTGAGAATAGCGAGCATACTTTCTTCGCGTTTCGCGCTCATTGTTGAATCAACCATGTTGATTTAAAATTAGTTACGCTGAAAATGAATTGCGTCAGAAATGAGAGTTTAAAAGTATATACGTAAAGCGGAAATCCATGAATGAATCCGTGTTTTACAAACATCACATTCATAATTCACAATGCTATTGAAGGTACAGGCGTGTATCATTATTTCTCCTTAACCGTTACATTTAGAACAAAATTATGATAAAATCAAATGAAACACAAATTGAATGTACAAAAATTCTTTGGGAAAAAATTCAAGTAAACAAAATTCAATGAGTAGCAATTGTTATAAGGTGTGCCAACTAATGTCAATTGAATGGATGCAGTAGAAAAAGTTTCTATTATCTCAATCAATATAAGATACAAATATAAGTTCATTGAATCGAACAAAAGAATATCACATAAGAAAACTAATAGTTGAATTTTCTAATGAATAGTTTTAAACTATTCATTAGAAAATTCAATTGTTCGTGATAGCATTGATGTATATTTTAAATGAAGATGACCCCATTTTGCATCATTGCTCTACAAATTCGTTAATTTTGGTGAGAATTTTTTCGGTATAAATAACCGGCAAATCTGATCGATCAGCATCAGTCAACCATTGATATCTCTTACAATCGCAATTGTAAAACAATTAAAATCAATCAACATGAAATTCGCTTTGGCTTTTGTCGCACTCTTCGCTTTGGTCGTAAGTTAAAGTCGGCAATAAAGCTAATACACAGAAGAAATTAACGTTTTTTTCTTTGCATTTCAGGCTATCTCAGCTGCTTTCCCTGAACCAGCTGCTGATCCAGAAGCTCTCGCTGCCCCAAGTATTCAAAATTGAGAAAATCCTTATATTTTAATTTAAAATATTGAAAATGGGCTAAATGTTTTCTATTAATGTCACATTTGGTAATTTAGGCTCCAGTGGCTCATCATCATCATCATGTGGATCGTCTTCATCCCGAAGACGCAGACGATCAAGCGGATCAAGTGGATCAAGCGGCTCAAGCGGATCAAGCGGCTCATGTGGTAGCAGCTCATGTGGTGGTAGTTCAGGCGGCGCAACAGTAAAAACAGCTTACATTGTCGCTCCATTGAGCTCATGTGGTTCATCATCATCATCATGTGGATCGTCTTCATCGAGAAGATGCAAACGATCAAGCGGATCAAGCGGATCAAGCGGCTCATGTGGTTCATCATCTTCACGTAGCAAACGTGAGTAGAATGGGTTTCGATTTTAACGTTTAAATACAAATCAATTGACGTGAACTTAATATTTTATATGGGGTTATTTGAGGATATCCAATTAAATTAACGGTTTGCAATGTGATTTCCTAATTGAAAGGAATCCACAAAATTATGCCCAGCATTTTCCAATCTCCGATGGATTCTAATTACTTTCCCTTCCTACAACAGGCTCATCGGGCTGCGGATCATCGAGCGGTGGTTCTTCGAGCTGCGGATCATCGAGTGGTGGTTCATCGAGCTGCGGATCATCGAGCGGTGGTTCGTCTAGCTCCCGTAGATGCAAAAGATCGTCATCATCCAGCTGCTGCTGTTAAATGCAATGACAGAAATCTCAGGCTTTGGCAAACGAAAAACGGCAATCACTTTTATGGAACTAGCGCTATTTAAATCGTTGCATTTTATTTATTATTTAGTTATACGACATGCAGTCATTTTGATTTGGCCAAAATAAACAATTGACTTATTTCAAAAGAAACGAATTTGATCTTTGTATTCTATCGAATGTCTTCTTAAATGAAAATTCAATTGAACGTTTATTCAAAACTCTTCACCTCGAAAATCAATCAATCAATCATTCAACATTTTGGATTATTCCATATTATGGATTCCAGATTATGGAATCCATAATCTCTTTGTTTCATTGGAACAATTTTGGATGGAAAAGTGTCACACTATTCTCACTTACCAGTGGAATTTGTTTGCTATAAATACATGGCTTAAAATTACCTTAAAAGTCAGTTGCCATATTTCAATTTAATACTGGAAACAAAACGAAATTCGTATTCACACGCTGTGGAATAGAGCGGTTCGGCTTGATTATACGTTGATGATTCATAATAACTGTAACTAAATTGAATAAACTGGTTTTCTTTTTTTCACCAGGCCATATCAAAAATTTATCTTGCTCCCGAACCAGTGCCAGAAGCAGTCGCTGATCCAGGTAAGATAGCATTTTATTAGCAATCAAACTAGTTTTTGATTTTATCAATCGAATATTTTTTCTGTGATCCAGAACCAATTTGCAAACGAGGTTGTTCGAACTGTGCCGTTCCAGTTAAAACATTGTCCACGTGTGACTCATGCGGTGCGCTAAGCTATGAATGCAAAACCATTAAATATAAATCAAGTTGTGGTGCAGAACATGTCGTATAAGACGATCAGCTTGCTGCTCATCGTTCCAAAGCTTGTTATTTAAAATATTTTTTAACCGAGCCGAATATATAAACTTTATTTATTTCCTTTTTTATTACAATTAAAACTGACTCAATGATCAAAAAACTGCTTGAAAAATCCAGTGTTTTCTTTCACTATTTTTGATTTGAAAAATTCTGCAAATGGCATTTTGTAATCAAAACAAATGATTTGTTTCGACTAAAAATCAATACCAAAAAGCGCAAAATGTCTATATTTATCACGTTCCTTCTTCAAAAAAACCTAATACGTAATATACACAAAAATTCCTAATAATCGAATACCAAAATTTCTTTGGCCATGCCCATTTCTTTCAAAACTCGTGATTGATATCACGTGCGATCTATTGAATGAATTGAAGTTGCGATCACATGTGATTTGGCCATTGCCTTTGATCATTAAAACGAGAGTTGATAAATGAATTTGATTGCAGCTTATGAAAGAAATGAATGCGAACACTTCAAAGCATTTATTCATAAAATTCGTCAGAATTGTGAACCATATCTTATTGACGTTAGATTATAATTGAATCTTGAAATAAGCGCTTGGCAAACATAGTATACATTTCGAGAGAAAGATAAACCAGAAAAACCGAATGAAATACGGCACCGAAATCAAGTATGACAATCTTAAAATGTAACGTCTGGACAAAAGCACTTGATTTTTTTTCTTTCAATATAAAGAGAACTCAAGTTGTTCAGACATTTTGGTATATATGACAACAATATATAAATAATACAATGTATGAAGTCTGCGTATGTATCACAAGAAATATGGAATAAGCGTGCAAATATTTGTATTGAATGATCCCTTTTTGTCATTCATTGTGAGATTTTCATTGATAATTACTTGAAAAGCCATGATTCTGTCGCGCAAATTCTGTTTTCTTGTTGTCTACATTTTTTTAGATTGATATCACTATCCATTGATTTATATTAAAGACGTAGATGCATTGAATTAACGAAATCACAATAGAGATCTATCGAAGGCAACATGTGCCAACCCAATTTCAAAATTAACTTCTTCTTTTTACTTGTACGACTTTTTTGTCCAACAACTGTAACCAAACATTATATAGGCATGAATGTCTTATCACAGCGTCACAACAATAAGCATTGTTCTCTGTTCTAACAAGACACAACGACAATGAATGATCAAGAAAATGTGCTTGAATTATAGCTTTTCAATTAATAAAAAAAAGACATATGCATTGCATCCACCACTTGGAGTCGACGTAGAAGAACATGAGCAATTGACGTGATTCGTTTATTCAGAAGGAAATTATCAGCAAGAACTGAATTGAATAAACTTTGTTCACTGTTAATTATGATAAGACAATTAAAAAAAGTTCAACAGTTTCTCTGACCTTTTTTGGAATTTATCTGGCCAATTTGGAATACAATTATCTGCTCAAATTGTCATTCTTGTTCAGATTAGGGCCATCCATTGGGCCAGATTAGAAAGTATTCGGTTCAAATTAGACTCTATCTGACCATTTTAGATTTATTCCAAATTATATATGATACCTATTTCATACTGATGAGATAAAACTATTTATCGTAAGCACCTTCATGTTTATTTTGTTCGAGAGAATTATGAAAGAAGTAACGTCAATTGAAATGCATATATTTGAACATCATTTTTAAATTCGGAAATGGTTACGACCTTGGTTACGGGACTAATCTCTACCTTATGCCGTTGCGAATATCGTATTTGTGATCGAAAAAGGCCTGGACATACTATATGTAGTGTGATTTTTTAATAAATCTTTTCATGTAAAGTTTTGTGACGGAATAATGAATCTCAAAAAGCTTCTGTCTGACAACATTGTCTGACTCTTGGTATGTTGATGTTCGATATAAATCATGCAAATTATGCTAAGCACTTCGACCGGAGTTTCCAACAATGACTAAAATTGCCTACCAGAGCCAGTTATCTCTGGCTCGATCTTCAATCGATTCCATTTATTTATCGCATATTTATTTATAAACATTCAGTGTCAATGAGAATAAAAGAAAATGTTACCATTTCAAAATTAGCATCAAATTTAAAGTCGTTTTGTATTAAAAACTACGTCGTTTGACTACTTATGGTGCTTCCGGTTGTTCACTTAAATTGGTTATTTCAACTAAACCCGAATAGAAGAATCTGAAGAGGTCGATGGACAAAAACGAGTTTATCATAAATCAGTTGATAATTCATAACAATGTGTAGTTCACCGATTCGTCGGTGTTTCACCGCATGTCATGTATTTCAGCTTATGATTTTCCGTTCGCTCAACTTTGGCTATTTCCATTGGGGAAGGAAATTTTCAATGGACTTGTCGATTGAAAATAACTATTTGGGCTATTTTTAAAATAATTTCATAGACTTTGATCTAGCCGTTTGTGTATATCAATATTGAAACCTGATTTCGAGATCAAAAATAATTTTTAAATGATGACCAAAGACTACTAATTTCGAAGATTATCTTTATTATTTTAATAAAAATGTGGCTTCAACAAGTGACATCATTTGAAAAATCATGTTTCCGATTTCGTTTGGAAACAAAATGAAACCATTTCCTTATTATATCTGCATAACCATTCTAAATTTGTTTAATTACGAGAGTCGTTTAGTTCGACATTACTACGGCACCACGAAGCGTATTTTTCAAGTGTTTTATAAATAGACGATCGATTTAATTTGATAAACAAGACTCTTGAAAATAATCCCCTGCTGTCGATGAGCAACAATACAAACGCTTGATACAAAGTGATAAGAAAACTGCAAGAAGGTGCACAAATTGCAAGGGCTGACAACCAAAAGTTATGAAATATTTTACGGTTAACTTGATTTATCACTTTCAACATTGACCACTTGACTAAGTGCTGTGCAATGGTGATTTGAATTATTTAAAGTGAATGTTCAATGATCATTGTTCGAACAATGAAATGATATGATCACATGAAACAACTGTTACTAACAGCTTGTTCGAAGTAATCGAGTAAAATACATTGGATTTGATGCTAATTTTGAAGTGTTTATTTAATTGATTTAATGCATTCATAAATAAATAGGCAATAAATTATATGTACGATATTTTTGTCATTTCCGTGGCCAATTTCAACTTTTAGATCGGTCGATTTCTGCTGAAGTGTTTAGCACTTGCATTTCGATGATGAGCATGAGCTTGAACGGCGTTTGCGCGATTTACAACAGCTCGACGATCCACAGTTCGACGATCCACAGCTCGAGGATCCACAGTTCGATGATCCAGAGTTGCAGCAATTTCCACTTGAACGACGTCTACGTGATTTGCCGCATTTAGATGATCCACAGCTTGAAGATCCCGAGTCACAGCATAATGATGATGATGACCCGCATGAGCTCAATGGAGCGACAATGTAAGCTTTTTGTACTGCTGCGACGCCTGAACTACCACCACATGAGCTGCTACCACATGCACTACCGCTACTTTCGAGCGAAGGTTCTGGTTCAGCGAGAGCTTCTGGTTCGGGCTCAGCAGATGGTTCCGGGAAAGCAACGGTGAAAGCCTAAAAAATGACCGATTAAAAAATTTATTTTTTCGTTGACCACTTCTTTCAAAATCCATTCCAACTTACGACCAAAGCGAATAGAGCGATTAAAGCCAAAGTGAATTTCATTTTGATTGATTTTTTTTTTTTTGGAATGTTTTCTCTTACAATTGCAATTGTAACTGATGCTGTTCGATTAATTTTCGCGGCTATTTATACCGAATTTCTCCGCTTGGAATCAATGTCGATTATACAGTAATTAGCACACATTTAGATCGCCATTTCAATGCAATCGAACAATGTGAAACGATTCATTCAACATAATTACTATTAACTTAATTCAGGCATCCGTTCCATTGTTTCAACGCGTATAATGGACACGGAACAAAGCATCCCTTTGTACCAACAGAATGAGTAAACAATTGCGAAGGTTTATGGTTTCATTGGTATAACAATAGCCATGCCACCACGTGTAGATATTAATTTATGTTCACCTAGTTACTTACATCCGATATCAATGGATTTCCATAAAAATGTTCATGGAAATTTTACTTCAATTCAATGGACGCAATGGATATTTTCAATCGAAATTCTTATTGATAACTTTATAATCGTCGAGCCGCAATGATGCCAAAATTAGATCAAGTGTCCGTTTTCAATACGATTTTTTTTTCTAGAGTTCCCCGAAATCATATTGTCCAGAATGTTCACATTTTTATCAAGATTAACCCGCATCCATCCCTCAAAATTCCAATCAAATATATCCCTATGTATCAATTTGATACAAGAGAAAAAAATGCCGTAAACTCCCATCGTAATGATTTTTTGTTTGGTTTTTTTAACTGATTATCAAAATTTATTTATTTTTGAATAGAAAGAAACAAAAAAGTAAAAATAATTAAAAGCGACTGTCAAAATTGTAGGATAGTATAGGAGGTATATAATACCCCCCTATTTATGGAGCTGCAGTAATGTCTTGGACCTTGGGGATATGGATTATCCATACTATCAAATCTATATAATTTTTTACGAGGAATCCAATGATATCCCACTCAACCCCCTCTTTTGATCCCCAAAATGGGGAAGCCCCCTCCAATCCCCCCCTGAGTAAGGGGGAGGGTCAGGACCTCAAAATTTGGAATCTACGCCCCAAATTAGTCTAAATGCATTTTTCACAAATTTCCTGCAAGCCCTGTTAACCCCACAAACGCAGTCCCAAAATTGGGGGGTCAAAAATGAAAAACACTATTTTCGACCGTTTAGACCCATTTTAGCGCCTCCATTGGTATGACCAACTACCATTATTTTAATTAGAAGATTCTATTCAGACGATTCATAGGCTCCCCAAATGCCCCCCTGTGGGAGTCCCCATACAAAAAATTCGAAATTTTACGTTTACCCCCCTCTCCCCTTTGGGGTCACTCTATCCCCACAATTGTGAAATCACCTAATATCTATTTCATCGATGGAATTTAGTTTTCATAATTTGACAGAACTTTTTTAGCGCATATAATGCAAATGAGTCATGCGTCATTGAAAAGGTGCTAATTCATTATTATGAACAAAAACTCCCCATTTCCCAAGGATAAAATCTCCTTGAAGGGGTGCCCAGAGAGTTTTGACTCCATTCGACAAATGTCGTTTATACCAAGGCCTACATTTCGCCCAGAAACACTAAAACCGTGTGAGCACTTCTTCGGGTAGATTTCGACGTTGATAATTTTGGTTTGAAATTTGTATCAATTTGATACAAAGGATGGATGCGGGTTAAGGTGTTTACAAAATTTTCGGATTACATGATTTACACATGCCCTTTACTTTTTTGGTCTTTCCAGTTTGTTCTTTCTCTTTTGACTATTTTATGAGTTATTTTTATTTTTGGCAAAAACGTACACCCATCTTTTTACACTTGAATCAAAGTGTATATTGATGAAAGTATTGTTTACCTTTTCCGAACAGCCATCTGAAGTGTTGATTGAAATCCCCGGTTACGGTCAGATAACATCGAATCTATCAATAAGTCGACGGTGTTCCTATGTCATTCGGGAGAGTTGAATATAGACAGAAAATTTGAGCAAAAATCCGTCTTGAGTAAAGAATAAACTTGAGTTAAAACTTAAATTCAAACACAAATACTACGAAATTTTACTCGCCAGTAGCAAAAAAAAAAATCGAGTTACCGTTACAATGAATTTAATAATCGGTGTGTATTTATGACATCTCCTGATGTTCATGACTTTTTTCATTGACGGTAAAAATCACTGTGTGATCGAAATATCTATTGTACCGTTTCGGTGGTCATGCGTCAAGTGAATTCAAGTGCCATCCATTTTTATGGTTCAATTTTTTAAAAAATTTCGAATTTTATCAGTTTCCATTGCCGATTTGTTTTCATTTATTACTAAGAAAGAAACGTCTTCATTTATTGCAACAAACAATTGCATTGCTTCGAACAAATCAACTTGAAAAAATTGAGCCGGCACGTGTTAAAAGCAATATATAAGAAAATGGAACCAAAGAGAGGTGTACACTTGAACTGAGATTTGTAGTTCTTAAGTATCGTAGTGCGCGCATATTTGAAATACGTCAATCAAATCGTCATAGAATTTCGTCTTGGGAACAAATGCATTTCTGTCCAATTTTCAATTGTTGGTTGCCAAGTGGCTGCTACTGAACATAAATAACATGATAAGGTTCTCGATGGATTAGCGATTGCCAGCGCAGACAAACAAACATGCATTGTTCTTCGATTAAATAGAAGACATTGTTCAAATATTCCTTTTCTTTGCTTTTCAATTCATGTCGCTTTTGAGAGAGGAGCGCGTCGGTGGTGCAAATAAAGTAATTATCACCGTAAATAATTGTGCTAGATCGCAGTGAAAGAACGAAGAGTTGGATGAAAAGCAAATACAAATCATATGTATAAAATGCAAATGACAAACAGAAGTCGTCGCCGAAGTCAATCATTTTGTCGCATTCAGCGAGCGCGTCGAAAAAAATGATTAAAGCTGCTGATAAAAGTGCATGGTTTCATATTTTATTTGCACGTGCCATTCAACCCGAATGGCACAAACACAAAAACGTATCACCAGCGTATGCGATATCATACATAGCCAATGAGTGAAGGCAATCCGTAATCATTTTGCAAACAAAAGCAGTGAATTTATTTCATTTGACTCATAAATTATCTTGCATGGCAATAAAAACAGATTGCGGCTCCTTTCTACTCTCCTATATTGAATTTAAATTGTAAAGAATAAAATTGGAGCCTTTGTTATTGACAGGTGTGAATGCATTAGTCAATGGGATGGTCAAGAACAAAGAATATAAACAACATCTGGCCTCGATCACAGCTCACTTAAGCGAGCAAGAGAGATGCCCATGATTGATTTTACAACTTTGTGAATAAAATTGAAACTTTATCCATATTTTACGAGTGAAACATATGAGAGACGCTCAAATGAACGAACCAACAAAAAAAGTTGCGGAAAACTTTTTAAATTCCCTGCAGAAAACACTAAACACATAAATATCGAATGTCAATCCACCTCTTGCCCATTTGAAAATATACACATGTGTTGGCTCGGTGTTGGACACATGAGGAAAATATTGGATAAAATATTTTCGTTTGTTGAACGGTAAACATCAAGAGCAAATACTGCCTAATAAAATGTCAATAAACATTTCAACCACTACTGCCACTGCCACTGCCGAGCAGTTTGAATACACTTGACTCGATTCGAAAGCTACACGATTCTATTTTATATATATACACTTGGACATCGGCATCTTCATTTAATATACACGTAATAGTTTGATAAAGTGGAGTTCATCGTAAATATTCTCTGGGCAATTTACTGGTCTCTGTAAATTATTGTTGAAACACTTAAAATCAATATGTGCCCGATGACGTTGTCGTCGTCTGTTCTGTTGGACTCTCGGTGGTCATCGTTCACGGCGATATTCTCTCTCATTCCCACTGGCTCGTTTGCCTCTCTCTCTATGAATGCGTGTGCGCTTATATTTGAATGCTGTGAAGTGGTTTCGGGCCAGACTACTGCTATTCCCGTAATAAAATGGAGCCCCGATTCTGGACGATCAATCGAAATAGTGTTATTACATTTGAATCGGCAGAGCCATATGATGCAAGCGGCATTAGTTTGTTTAATGTTATTGCCTTTTGGGTGACCACAATGCGTTCAAATATTTATCTCATCATTGGCTGCTCATTGAGACCGATCATCAACACAACCGTATTTTCATCACACACGCTCACACTCACACACTTGCAGCTGAAACCCAGAATTTTCACGTTCCATGTGAATGGCCGGTCAAACATTTTTACTATATTGAACACTTTGGTTTGACTTTCGGTTGTTTTTCTTATGTTTTTGTTTATTTTGCGGCGTTGAACTTATTTTTCTCTCTTTTTTTGTATGCTTTTCTCTGTTTGCCACATTCCATTTCGTTTTCATTCCGAGAGAAAATCCGACAATAATTTGGCGCCATGCCAAATCCACTTTGCTGCTGATTTCGATTCAAAAGAATGTGAACACAAAAACATCAAATCACTTTTTGATGTGATGTTGTTTGCGAGAGAAAAAATGCGTTGAAATACGTGCAAAATATGCCAACAATGGATCAAATTCCGAGTTTATTAACTGTGCTAATTTAACACCTATCGGCTAAATGTGATTGCACTTGAGCTAATGTGATAATACAAATCGTTGAAAGAACGAAATTACTTTTATTCGATTCATCCATTACGGTTTCAATCAACAAGCGAAACAAGTGAGAACTAAATTATGTCATTTTCGTGAAGATATTAGTCACAATGTCAAAAATAATGGGCACACATCCACACTCACACACTGATGGCAACCATTTGAATAATGCGAGAAAAAAAATGCAGTTTTAAGGTTATCACAACACATTTGTGAGCGAAAATGACGCCAATTCACGGTGATTCTGTCATTTATTCGAGGGGAGCTCATAATCGTCGACAAGTGTGCTCAAACATCAAAATGTTGATTCTTTTTGTCCCTCTCTCTCTCTCTCTCACTCACGTTGCCTCTCTTTTCGTAGAGCATTCGCTAAAAATAGCTGCACAAAAACGAAATAAGGTGTTTGTGTGTGTTGAAGCTCGCAGCCTGTTGAAGTTCACAGTGCGGTCATTTGTAGAAAAGTCAATGTTTACATTCCATACAACAATCGATATTTGCACAGAATTTTCTACTCGATGGACACAGAGAGAGATAAATCAACATCGATCCAAACAATGTATTTGAATTGACACATTTTTTTTTTGAACAGAGACTAATGTTTACATTTCTTTTATTTTTTGTTTCATGTGTGAGTGCGTCTGTGGTTAAGATTTCGCGTCAATGTCGCAAGCTCTCCATAAATTTGGCATCTGTTCGATCGATTCGAATTATGAACAACAAGAACTTACGAGTCGAAAGACAAATATTTTGAATTATAGCCAAAAAGGTCGATAGCATTCATTGATAAATGTTTGAACTTCAAATATCGTCGTCATTTACACTGTATCGATCGACTCGATTTTTTCGTTGGTTGACGTAAGCTTAACTCCGTGAGTGATCTGCTTTAATTAATTAGCAAATATTTTTCTTCAATGCGATCTG